TCTGTCTTTGATTGATAATGATTATTTTACAGTCCCATTAACTAACATAAGATCGTTCAGGAGGTCGGTTTGCTAGTAGTAGTAGTAGTAGTAGTAGTAGTAGTAGTAGTAGTAGTAGTAGTAGTAGTTAGTAGTAGTACTACTACTACTACCCGAATAGCGGCCGAAGCCTTCCCTTATTGATTTTGGACCACCAAAGGATCTTTAACGTGCGCAACTTGCACTCGGGACCTCCGAGATTTTTCGCCCTTATCCAAGAAGGGTAAGTGTTAAATCTTACCTACCAAAACAGCAGGCTGAGGCTGAAGACAGCAGTAGGATGGAGCCAAGGATTAGCATAGAAAGGCTGCAGAAAGAGTCAGGAGCCCAGAGGAGGGGGCAAAGGGGGTGAGGGGGGTGGGGGCAGAAAGTGGAGACGAAAGCAGACGACAGAACATTGTTACTTACATTGTTACAGAACAGGAAAGGAGGCGACAGCAGAACATTTTAGAGAAGAACATTTTCCGACATTATTCGGATTAGAACCCAGGACCTATTGATGAGAAGCAAACACTGTAACCTCTTGACTACGAGAGCCCCAATTATACAAAATTGAAACAGCTTTTGAAAATGAAAATACACAAGTTTAAAACGAAAAATCGAAAAAAATGAACTTACTTGAAGTTTTCAAAACCATCAGAGTGGGCCGATATAAAAGAACAAATTCCCTAAACTTAATCACACTAAACCTTAAATTTTACCATCCCGTGCAAGCGGTTAATTGTGATAATACTGCTTACAAGTAATAAGAAAAATACTGATTACAAGCAATAAGAATAATACTGCTTATAAGTCCTGACACAGTCACCGAGTCATTCACCACATGTCCAGTTCCACCTGTAACTAAGAAAGACACACTAAGCTGAAAAAAAAACAACCGTCCGCATAATGATTACACCATCAATATGACTACGCCGAAACTCGGTCGGTGAAGCGTGAGAACAACTAAAAGCACGTCATACCACCAGTAGTCTTTTAATCACTTTCCCGCCAGCCGCCACCAAGACACACCCTCACAACTTGAAATGCCTTACGACCATGAACTCAGGCGGATAACATACTATCCAGATCACGGTGGCGAACTAGAGCCTAAAAGTTCTCCCAAAA